GGCCTAGTCAATTGAGCATTGCTATTGTGTTGTGCTATCTAACTTTACAAAGGCTATTAATTTCCCTATGAGGCAATTAGGGTGCATATAATTCCCTTGTTTGGTCATTATATGCAAATAATTTTATTGAAAAAGACGTTCAATTAGTTCTTGCTACTTGTTCATTTGTTTAAAATGGATAAATTTTTTCATATTGGACACCCACTGTTGGTGTTTTTTCTTCATTTATTACATCATAACTCTGAAACTTGGAGCATAGATTGCGGCGTGATACTAATGTTTCTCAAAATCAATTTGGATTCATGCCGTGTAGGTCGACTATGGAAGCCATATATTTATTAAGAGGTTTGATGGAGAAATATAGAGAAAATAAGGAGGATCTACATATGATATTTATTTAGAAAAAGCATATGATAAAGTTCCAAGAAAAGTGCTTTGGAGAGTTCTTGAAAAGAAATGAGTCAATAATGCTTATATTCAAATCATTAAAGATATGTAGCAGGAGCTATTACTTGTGTTCAAATACAAGGTGGATTGTCCAAGTATTTCCCTATTTCGGTTGGGTTACATTAGGGGTGTAAGTGAGCCGAGCCGGCTCGCGAGCCGGCTCGAGCTCGACTCGTTTATGAGCTCGTGAGCCGAGCTTATCGAGCTCACGAGTCGAGCTCGAGTTCGAGCTCGAGCCGGCTTGGCTCGTGAGCTCGCGAGCCGGCTCGATTAAATATTAATATTTTTTTAAAATAATTTTATTTTATTTATTAAATTTAAATATTAAAAAATTATAATAATATATTCTTCTTGTTGATAAGACTAGAGAGGGAGTTGAAGGTAAACTTGAATTATGGAGGTCAACCTTAGAGTCTAAAGGTTTTCGCTTGAGTAGATCTAAAACGGAATATATGGAGTGTAATTTTAGTAGTAATAGACCTAGTGATGGGATTGTGACTTTGGGCGATCAAGTCATTAATAAGAGTACACGTTTTAGATATATTGGATCTATTGTTCAGAGTGATGGTGGAATAGATGGGGATATTATCAACAGAATTCAAGTTGGATGGTTGAAGTAGAGGAATGCATTGGGCTTGTTATGTGATAGAAATGTACCCCTCAAACTTAAGAGAAAATTCTATAAGATGGTAGTGAGGCCTGCAATGGTTTATGGTGCCGAATGTTGGCCATTAAAAGAGAAGCATAATACTAAGTTAAGTGTGGCAGAGATGAGGATGCTCAGGTGGATGAGTGGCTTTACCCTTAGAGATAGGATACGAAATGAGCATATACGTGGAAAGGTTGGAGTAGCTCCAGTAGAAGATAAGATTAGAGAGAGTCGCCTTAGATGGTTTGGTCACATAAAACGGCGGCCTTCCGATGACCCAGTTAGGAGAGTAGAGGTATTAGATTTGACTTATGTTAAGAAAGGTAGGGGTAGACCTAAAAAGACAATGTTAGAAAATATTAGGAATGACCTTTCTTTATTAGATTTAAACGAGAATTTGACTTTTAATAGGACACAATGGAGAAAAAGGATTCATGTAGCCGACTTCACGTAGTGGGATAAAGGCTTGATGTTGTTGTTGTTGTATTACATCATAACTCTGAACCCTCCTATATGGTTTGTAAATTGAAATTTTGTTCGTTCGTTTGGGTTTATGATGCACCAATGCATGCATGATACAACATGAATATGATATATGTCAATTATTGAAAATATAGGGCACAAATATATGTTGGACATGATATTGTAATATTATCTATTAACTGTTTGAATTAAATAAACATGAATTGAATTCATATAATAGCATATTTATTTTGATTACTTATGAAATAAGATATAAATTTAAATTTATTAAATGCCTTAAATTGAACTGCAGAAGAAATAGTCATATGATATTATACATTTTTAGCTTAAAGATGAGATGATTGATTCTTTCGGCATAAGAAACAAAATAAATATGATTTAAAAAAACATAGAGAAATAGAGTGGAATATGGAATATAAAATTTATTTTGAAGTGTTAAGTTATTTAAGAAATACGTATTTCTAAATAAATAGTAGATGGCTTAATTTAAGGTATTTATGCAATATATTTTTAAATTTAAATTTATTATTTAGAACATGCGTATATGACATATATGTCGATTAATTTTTTTATTGTTTTTTAATTGTACGCATAAATGACATGTATGGCACATATGGGGTTTGTGTCAGGCAGTTAACGTGCTCTTCATACATAAGACATAATACAACTCATTCTTATGTCGTGTCAATGCATCATAGGTGTGGGTTCTAGAACTATTGATTTTCTTGGCAGCCTTCTTTATCTTTTTAGAGTAGAAGATGTCAGTAAAATTCTTTTGAGCCGAACTTTATTTTAATGGACATGAATAACCTTGATTACATTAAATCATACATGGCTACATCTATAGTTTGACCAGCATACAATTTGTGACATTCAAAACCAAAAAAATCAAACATAATCAACCACAACTAAGCAAAATGCCCTTTTCATTCTCTTGTTAGTTATAAGAGATCCCTAGTTTTATATACTAGCAATGCTTTATGGTGTAGAGACTTGCAATGCTTTATGGCTTAGAATGTTGTCCAATTAAAAGAGAAATATAAAATTAAGTGTCGCAAAGATAAGGATGCTCAGGTGGATGAGTGGTTTTACATTTTGATAGAATGCAAAACGATTATATTTATGAAAATGTTGGAGTAGCTCCCATGACAGATAAGATTAGAGAGAGTCGCCTTAAATGGTTTGGTCACATAAAATGTTGGTCTTTTGATAAGCCGGTTATGATAATAGATGTATTAGATCCAACTTATGTTAAGAAAGTTATAGGTGGACCTAAAAAGGCTTGGTTATAAACTATTAGATATGACTTTTTTTTTATTTAAATGAAAATTTTGACTCTTAATAGGGAAAAATGAAGAAAAATGATTAATTTAGCTGATCCACATATCAGGATAGAGGCTTGAAATTGTTGTTGTTTGTTAAGATATACACATTACACACAACAATATCTCGATGATTCTCTTTCAATGGTGATGGCTAAAGTTTTATAAGGAATTGTTTTGCGTCATACTTTTGGGGAAATATATTAGGTTTTGAGAATTGAGGATAACAAGAAAGGAGATGATGGACAGTACATACTCAAGTTTCCATCATAAAAGAGGCGGAGATGAGATGGATTGGCTAAGAAGATTTTTGAAATTTTGGGATCTGCCTTGCATTTGGACACAAAGAATACTTTTTAATGGACAAGGAGAAATAAAGTAGTTGAAGGGAGAAGAAAATGTGAAGGATGATGAATGTTGATGCCCTCGCTCACTTGGACAATTGTGTGAGCACATGCAAGATCATAGGGTTTCACATCTTCCAAGTGGGTGCCATTTCTAAGGTGTTCCTAGGGGTTTTCTTTGCTTTTAAGCCTCCATGTTGTAACTCAAGCAACTTGTCTTGATTGGAGAACTTAATTCTAATTTTCTAAATGTTGAAGAGCATCAAGAGTTGAAGAAGTAATGATATGCATAAAGAAACATGTTTGATCTTAAATTGCAATGCTTTACATTTTAAAAAATAGTAGATCTTCTGGATGAAAAGGATAAGCTCAAGGAGATAAAAGAAGAGTGGCATGGCTACAAAGCTGCTGATGGAGAAGATTGCATGGCTCCAAATTATAATGAAATAGATTGTATTAGAATCGGAGTAGCCCTGAGTTATACATATTTATAATGCATGGCAGTTTAATTGTGATTTTTTTAGATAATTTTTTAAGGAAGATTTTTAAACTTGGTATTCAATGAACTAAAAAATTATTATTTGCTCAACATAGTTTGATGTGATGATTATCATTTCATTTTTTTCAAATTATTCCTCATGATTAAAATATATTTAGTATCTGATATAAATGTTTTCTTTTAGGGCTGCACTTCCCTTGAGCAAACCACTAAACTGGCTTTCTTGCATTGGCTTGTCATATCACCTTAAAGACATACGGAGAGCTTACCAATCCTTGTTAACTCTAACATTTTTTTAATATTAACATGAAGTATGCTTACAAAATGTTTATGTTTTAAGTTTCTAAAAAAATTTCATTTCTAAAACTCTCCTTGCGAATTAGTAAGAAGATTACCTGAACGAGTTAAAGTGTTTTTAGCTGGATGTCAACATGCTTCATTAATCTTATGGTTCAAGCAGTTTTACTTCATTTTCGTTTTGAGAATCTAATTATTGTCTATCATGGTTTGCATGGAATTAGCCATGTTTGGAAGTTCTATCAGTGTGTGTGAGACTGGATAAAGAGACCTTCCATGAAGTTCAACATATGTGGTTTGAATCTTTGGTGTGCTTTGTAGATGACCTCTGTCTAAACTTGTCCTAATTTCATATCAGATTTTTGTTCATTGCTTCATTTCGCACTGGACAGTCTATTTTGGTAAAAAATACAATGTTATGTAAGACGACACTCATGTCATGCTCCTGTACTTGCTTAGTTTTGCACAGTTTGATAGTTTTATGATTCTTCAAAAGTATTAATCAGACAGGTCAAGATTTTGTTTACTTGATGCTGACGGAACACTTTCTTGAATCAGTCAAATAATCCCGTTTATTATAATGATCCATATTTCTCTGTCAAAAATGTTAGACCAAAGTTTTGAAATAGGATGCTTAACTATCCTCCGTCTATTTTTATCTGAAGGACTCCTCTACAATCCTTTTTTCAATCATTTATAGGCTGTAATTCGTGGATGAAATACCTAAAAAGTATTTGGATGTTGAGAAATTGTTCAACATCCTTTTATCTATTTGAATGGTTGCTTTGCTAGGGAATCTGCTTCGCTTTTGAGTTAGTTCAGATCTTTTATTTTTCTGCCTTAATTGTCCCAAGCTAATATGTTCTGGCAGTTATGCTTTTTCACAGCTGTTATCCAGAGTTTTCTTTCCTCGCAAACAATTAATATTTCTGCATTTAATTGATTAATGACATTTCCAGGGGTTACAAACGATTTTATAGAAGAACATCGTTAGAAACATCTGATTACCTTAAGGATGACTGTCTGGTGATGAACTGTACTGTCGGTGTTGTTAGAAATCGTCTTGAGACACCAAGGCAGTTTTCCATCCCTGTACCGCCACCAGATATGGGAAGTTCTCTTAGAGAACTGCTGAAATTTGGCATTGGCTCCGATATTGTTTTTGTGGTTGGTGATGAGACATTTAAGGCCCACAAGCTAATTCTTGCTGCTCGTTCTCCAGTGTTCAAAGCCCAGTTTTTTGGCCTCATCGGGAACCCAAATGTGGAAGAGATTATTGTGGAAGATGTGGAACCTCCTGTTTTTAAAGTAAGGATATTCATTTCTTAATATTTTTTCTTCATTATGTGTTTACTTTTTGACTGATTCAAAATTATTGGTTTTCAAAGCTCTTATGTAGTTTGATTGAATTGCTTATACTTACAATAGAATGTTTCATCCCATTAGCGATCAAAACTGCATATGCTTCATGTTTCTTTTGGGTACTCATCGTCCAAGCTATAGGAGGGCTAGTCTAATGTTAAAAACTATCACATGATAAATTGAAGTATTAATCCCCTACTCTCAAAGACGTAGGCTGCATCTCTTCTTTTTTCTCTCATCTCTTATATTATTATTATTGTTATTCTTTTCCATCTACCTCTATTTCTCTTCCTCTTCTTTCTTTAACCTCTAATTCCTCTATTGTCTCTATATTACACAGTTTAAGTGTTTTGCCCCTAACCAGCCCAGCCATTGAGTCACCTTGGGTCAAGAGTTAGGCTAACCCAAAGTGGCCAAGATCACTTGGGATTGAGCCAATTCCTATCCTAACTCCAATTGAACTTTTTGGTACAACTAACATTTGAACTTGTGTTTTTGGAAAATTATTGTTTTTCATCTATAGTAATTCAACAATATGTGAGCAACATTCCATTAATTTTGGATTTTGAAATGAAAGCCTATTTTTTAAATTTTTTTCCATTCTTGATAGTTATTTCTTCACATATTTATGTCCATGTTCTCATCTTTGCTTTTGGATACAAAATCAAGTATCAAATTTCTGTAATAAAATATCCAATTTTCTACTTTCCTTTTATCTTAATCTAATTTTTATTATGATATCAAAGACATAGAAGTTATATTCCTTATGAGATTAACTTGTCCTTTTATAGTCTCTCTTCCAAATTGATGGGTTCTTCACCAACATTAAAAGCTTTTTTTGTCCAAAAATATATGTGAGTGATCCTTTTTAAAAGAAGACTGCAGCTGCCCTAATGTAGCAAGCGGTTAAAAAATGGTAACTCCTTAGATAAAAACGAGGGTGCAAACGAGTCGAGTCGAGCTCTAGCTCGGCTCGTGAATTAAGTGTGGCCAAACTCGAGCTCGGTATGCTCGAACTCGACTTGGATTTTGTATTTTTGGCTCGAGCTCGGCTCGTTAGGTCAAGCCCGAATAAGATGCTCGAACTCGCCTTGTTTATAGGCTCAATAGCTCAGCCTGTATTAAGCTAAAACTTTGTGAATCACATAACATGAAAATGAGCACAGAGAAAGCACAGAAAAAATCAACAGGTGAAACTTATTCTATCATGTAAAAAAGTGAATAAAATAATTTGATATTCAAAGGCATATGTTTGTTTCAACTTATAAAAAAGAGTGAAACAAAGATGCTGAAAACATAAGTTTGTCAAAGTGGTTAGTTCACTGTTGTGACTTGGAAGCAAAAATATTAAATGGGATGAGAAGAAATTGCATGAACATAAGTATGGGGGCTGATTTATGATTTACTCCAACAATAATGAAAGATACAATTGATCTACTATTCTTGAGTAGATTGGCTCTCCTATACCTAGCTGCCGCTAGGAACGACTTACAAAAGAACTACAACAATCATGATATCATAATAATAATAAACAACCCAATTAACCCTAATATAAGCCTTCCTACTTCCCTCATAAATTTGAATTATTCAAATCAGCCATCTTTTCCTAAATGAAATACTTTCTAATTCAAATCAGCTATCTTTTCCTAAATTAAAACCTTCCTAAATAGCTCCCCTTGATACCTCCTTCTTACATAGGGTTTGTTTGGTTGGCTATAAAGTGAATGCAGTGTAAAACAAGTACTTTGAGGCTGCTTGGTTTGAAATAAAATGAATGCAAAAGAATTATTTTTTCTGTTTGGTTGGATGTATGCAGAGTAAAGTAAAATCAGTACATCAGAAACTATCATTTGATTGTTTTGTTGAGTGACTACTGAGTTTTTTCTCTTCTTAGATTTGACAATTGATGCATTATAGGGACCTTTTTAATTCTGCAAATAGGCCCTTAGTTTGGAAAGAAAATTCTCCATACGTGTCCACATTGTGAGAGCGATTAGATCTCTTCTTGAACTTATCTTCATATCAATTTAATTTAAAAAGAATTTCAACAAGATATCACATAGTCCTACAACCATTGAGTTTTGGAGAGGAAAATGTACTGGCAAGGATTTCTAAAATAAGAATCTTATATGTGTGCATATAAATGGGCCAAAATTGGTGTTGCCATTACGGCTAGCTTGAATCGATATGTAACCAAATAATTAGATATTCATGAAAATTTAAATGCATAATCGTATAAGAAATAATAATTGTTGTTAAGTGGCGGGTATGAATAAAAATTTTGGTTAACAGGGCTGCATTATCAAGCATATGAAGGCAATGAGACATAAATCTATGTGTATAAATACAAAAATAAATAAAAGGAATGAAACAACGGATAAAGCAAAAAAATTTGGTGTCAACTGTCAGAAAGCTCATTCACAATGACACTTAATAGAGTTTAGCCTCTGGTCCCAAAAAAAAATGAAACGGTGGAAAGTCATTTTGCTGCATTGAATCAATTGGCAATGAAGGAAAGTAGGTGCAGTTTTGAAGATTTTAAAGTATTAGCTTAATCACTTACACGATGAATAAGCAACAGAAAATGAGACGAAGCAAAAATGCCTTCGGCTCGTTAGTACAACACAATGAACGAATATGCAACATCTAGAAAACTTTTCTAAAGAGAAAGTGCTTACTGATTTACCATTATTTTCATTGCAAAGGGAAATGAATAGCATCAACTATGGTTTCAGGGAAAAGGAGAGATGAGAGATTAAAGAATAACTTGCCTTGTTTCTTCCTCAAACTCCCCCTTCGTTTCGTCACAGGTATCTCACTCAAGCCCTCACAAAACACCCACCCTCAAGCAAGTGGAAACTCAATTGGTTTCCATTCATCTCTAAAAATCACAAGTTTGCGCCTCTCGATTGAAGGAGCGAAGTGAGTCGAAGAAGCTACTGGTGCAAAACTCTACCTCACGCGAAGCATCAAATTTTAACAACCACGAAAAGCTTTTGAAACACTGATGGAGGAATAAATGACGATGGTTCCCGCCGCAGGAAGAAGAAACAAAGATAGCTTCAGCGGGTTTCTCTCTCTCGCATGCGTGAAATCTTTTTTCACTCAAAATTGGACTGTTTTCCTTTACTTGTAAAATGAGCTGCAACAGGGAGTTTGAAATACGTTAGGATTTTACTTCACTTTATACCATGTCCAACCAAACATCAAAAAGTTCAGAAGCAATGCATTTAATATACTTTACATTTACTTTACTTTTAACCAAACAGCCCCATAATGAATAATAGCTCCCCTGGGCCTCACAAGGGGTTCGAACTCATTCCTTATGCTGTCCCCTAGTTGCCCAGCCACATGGCTGGTTCGGCTTGGGTTGGGCTAGGCTTGTTGGCTGGGCTGGGCCGTGGGCGTATCAATAATCCCGCCCAAACGTGCATGGGAACTGCCTCCTGATCATCTCGTATGGCTCCCATGTAGCTTTGTACTATAGCAAATCCTTCTACTTAATTAGTACCTCTTGTGCTCCTGTTTCCCCTTGGCGTAACCTTTCTGCTTTTAGGGGTTCCAAAATAATCTCCATATCTTCTATCAAAGTTGGGGGTAGTGAAGATGATATGCGATCTCCAATCACACATCTCAACTGTCATATATGAAATATCTGAGGGCAATGCTGACGAAGGTGGTCAGTCGATATGCCACTGCTCCGTTGCGCTCCAAAATCTCCTAAGTCCCTAAGTATAATGAGGACAATTTCTTATTACTCCTCCTTGCTAGTGTCTTTTGTTGGTAGGGTCTCAGCTTTAAGTAAATCATGTCTCCTGGCTCAAAGTGTACTTCTCTCTTGTACTCATCAGCCTTCCTATTCATGATTTGATAGGCACTCAACAAATGTCCCTTGAGCTCTGCTAATATCGTGTCCCTCTCCTCTAAGTATCGATCTATACTAGATATTGAGGTAGTGATATGTCCATAATGTAATAAATGAGGTGAATCTCTCCCATAAATAATTCTAAAAGGGGTGGCATGTACTGTTGAATGGTACGAAGTGTTGTACCCATACTCGGCCGAAGAAGTTCACTTTGCCCAACTTTTTGGCATATCTGATACAAAGCTTCGCAAATAGGTCTCCACGCTTCTGTTGACCATCTCCGTCTGGCCATATGTCTGGGGATGGTATGTTGTGCTCCTCTTCAGGATTGTCCATTGTAAATAAAACAGCTCATTCCAGAAATGATTGAGGAACACCTTGTCTCTATTTGATACAATGGATTTTGAAAATTCATGTAAGCACACCACCTTCTATATGAAAGTAGTAACCACAAAGGCCGCGGTGTTAAGTGTGATTTAGAGGGATAAAGTGTGCATACTTGCTCACATGATCCACTATTACCAGGATCACAGAAAATCCCTCCGAACGCGGTAACCCCTCATTGAAGTCTATCGTCACCTCCTCCCACACCCTCTCCGATAGAGCTAGAGGCTGTAGTAATCCTCCTAGTGTCATGGCCAAGTACTTGTGCCGTTAACACACACGACATGTCATCACTCTGCCATCTACATCTCACCACATCCCAACCTAGTATAATTCTGCGAATAGCCGTTTGTAGGTTTTACTCCAGAGTGTCCTCCAA